AACCCTAATCAAACCCAGCACAGCATTTATATAAAAAATGATTTTATAATGTCCCATTTACTAATCCTGAAATAAAATACATAGGTAATAGAATGACTTACCAATTTCAGAATATCAGTGGAAGAATACTAGTGTTTGGAGACCCAACTATACAGGAGAAATAAAAAGAAAGTCATTTTTTATAACGTTATGCATGCATGTATAAAGCACTCAGGTCGAATGACATTGGGAGACATGGTGGCATAGCCAGATCCTTACACCTGTTTGTGGACTCACCATGAATACAGCAGTGACAGAGCAGACCCCCACAGCTATAACTGATAGGAATTTCATTAGTCTTGGTGATGTCATTTTCTAGAATGGTAAGAAAATCTTGGTAAATTTTAAATGAAACATAATAAAATTGCCCATGAGTATACACGGTAGTTGCTGTTCTGGAAAGTTCAGTTCCTCATAAACTATACAGAATATCTATACAAACTATACAAAATATATAAAGCAGAATTCATTCTGTGTTCAAGCGACAGGGATTTTATTGTTGCTGTTGTTTTACTTACATAAAGTTGAGAGAAACAGCAGAAAGTCCTGCGGGGACCAGGCATGGTGGCTCATGCCTGTAACCCCAGCACTTTGGGCAGCCAAGATGAGCTGATCACTTGAGGCCAGTAATTTGAGACCAGCCTGGGCAACATGGCGAAACACCATCTCTACTAAAAATACAAAAATTATCCAGGCGTGGTGGTGTACACATGTAATCCCAGCTATTCAGGAGGCTGAGGCACGAGAATTGCTTAAACTCAGGAGGCAGAAGTTGCAGCGAGCCGAGATCACACCACTGCACTGTAGCCTGGGTGACAGAACGAGACTCCATCTCAAAAAATAAAAATACAAAAATTAGCTGGGTGTGATTGCGCATGCGTGTAATCCCAGCTACTTGGGAATCTGAGGCATGAGAATCACTCAAACTCAGGAGGCAGAGGTTGCAGTGAGCCGAGATCATGCCACTGCTCTCCAGCCTAGGCAACAGAGCATGACTGTCTCAAAACAGAAAAAGAAGTCCTGTGGGATATGAAACAAATCCTGTTGTTCAGGCCTGTCCCCTCACTGCCAGAAATCTCACTTGCTGACCTCTACCTTAATGCCAATTGTGCGATCATGGAAAGCACTCTCACTAATACAGTTCTCCCTTGATATCTGCAAGGGATGGAGATTAAAATCCACAGATGCATAAATTCCTTATATAAGATAGCACAGTATTGCATATAACCTACATACCTCTTCCAGTATACTTATTTTTGTTGTTGTTGTTGGCTTGTTCTGTTTTTTGAGACGGAGACTCTCACTCTCCAGGCTGGAGTGCCATGGTGCGATCTCGGCTCACTGCAACCTCTGCCTCCCGGGTTCAAGCTATTCTCACGCCTCAGCCTCCCAAGTAGCTGGGATTACAGGCGTGCGCCACAACACCTGGCTAATGTTTTTGTATTTTTAGTAAAGACAAGGTTTCACCATGTTGACCAGGCTGGTCTCAAACTCCTGACCTCAGGTAATCCGCCCACCACGGGAGCTGGTTATTGTACTCCTTTTGTCATTGACAGTAGGGAGGCATAGAGAGCTGAAGCACCCTACCATGAACACTGACAGTCTGGCTCAAAGCCTGCCCTCTTGACCACCATGCTAACCTCCAATTTGTAGAGAACAGAAGTAGAGCTGTTTTACCAATACAGTTGTGCTCTCCATGGCTGTTGGTTAGCAACATTTGATTTTGTGGTGTCCTTTGTGCAAATATTTTGTCTATCATAAAACATATTTTCAACTTTTTACCTTTTATTTTTATTTTGAAATGGAACCTTGTGTTATCATTTGCTACCCAGTTAAGTCTTTGCATCACTGTGAGATAGTTTACATTGGTTTTGCCATTCTCTGATCTATTTATTTTGTATATTCCTTTTTATTTGGTGAGTCAGAAGTACGCTTATAGAATAGCATCATGGCACAGCAGATTTTGGAGTCACGCAGTTCTACCATTACCACCTATATGCCCCTATTTAGATTGCCCAATTTATCTGAGACTCTGTAAAATAGGGATTATAATATTGCTTCATAGCAATGTCGTGATCAAGATTATCAAATTGTAAGTAAAGTAGGTAGTTCAGTACACACAGAATACACAGTAAATTGCACCTTTTTTTTTTTTTTTTTGCCTGAATTTATCAAGAGTGCATCACTGTGCAGCTGTCAGCTCTGTTTATTGTTCCAGTCCCCGGCTCTCCCCGGCTCTGCCTCATTCCGTTCTTGGACTCCAAGAGCATTTGATTCAGGAAACCCTTTCCCCTGCAACCATTATTAATGCTTGTATATTAACACATATCTTTAAAACAAGTACAAAGGTAGCCGAACTCTTTTTTTTTTTTTTGCCTCTTTTAATTCAACACAACCATGTCGTAGAACACCCTTTGGAAATTGCCACCCTAGCACACAGAGTAGAGAAAAGCCTAGAATGCTCTCTTTATACCCTTTTCCTGTTTGGGGTGTCTTTGGGGGAATTCATGTTGTTATTTAGTTAAGTTTAGAGTAGACTCTATCTGGAACACTGCTTGAAACATGACAGGGCTAAGCGAAAAGGAAGGATTTTTCGCCCTCAGGAATTTAGCAGCTCATAATAGCAGGGGTAGAGCAAGTGCAAAGTACCTGCAACCCAGGGTAGGGTTTGAAAAAGGCCTCCTTAGGAGAACAGAGGACATATGTTTATGTTAGGCTGGCAAAAGCAGGAGCTGTTCTGTGAAAAAAGTAACATCTAAAAGACTGAAAGGATCAGAAGTATTCTACAGATGGAGGGAGGAGACATTTCAGGCAGAGGGGACAGTATAAGCAAAACTGAGGGGGAAGTGAGACTGATTTAGAGACCAAAACATACTCTGGACCTAACTAGAGCAAAGCACGTGTTCACCCAGCACTGTGGGAGAGAGACAGGCACTAAGGAGTTTTCTTTCCTAAGCTTGATGGGACTTAAATCCATTTCACTTTATTCTGGACTTAATTTGGCTAGACAGTAATGGGTTTCCACCTTGTTAAATCCTCCAAGTTTTAAAAGACTTTATTGACTTCTTCGAGACTTCTGTTTCAGACTAAATTGTTCTTTCACTATGAACTTTGAATTCATTTATCCCAGAAACAAAGTGAGAATTTAAGACCTGGAAGTGACTTTAGAGATCCTCTAGCTCACCCCCATCTTATGGATGAGGATCTAGAAGCCAGTCAGTTTCATCTCTTGACGATAGTAACACAACCAGGAAGTAGGCAAACAATAGAACACAAGTGCCTTCTCTCCAGGTCCCGGACTGCTGGACAGAGAGCATTTGGTTCCCTCGGGCTCAGAATATTCAGTATCCCGTTTTGTTATTAATGATACTTCAATAGCTTTATTAAGATACAATTTACATACCATACGGTTTATCCACTGAAAGTGTGCAGTTCGGCTGGGCACAGTGGCTCACTCCTGTAATCCCAGCACTTTGGGAGGCTGAGGCAAGCAGATCACTTAAGGCCAGGAGTTCAAGACCAGCCTGGCCAACACGGCAAAACCCTGTCTCTACTGTAAATACAAAAATTAACCTGGTGAGGTGCCGCATGCCTGTAATCCCAGCTACTTGAGAAGCTGGGGCATGGGAATTGCTCAAACCTGGGAGGCAGTGGTTGCGGTAAGCCGGGATTGTACACTGCGCTCCAGCCTGTATGGTAGAGTGAGACTCTAAATATATAAATTGTACAATTCAGTGTTTTTTAGTATATTCAGAGTTGTGCAACCATCACCACAACCAGTTTTAGGACTTCTGTTTTTAGTAGAGATGGGGTCTTACTGTGTTGCCCAGGCTGGTCTCAAACTCCTGGGCTCAAGTGATCATCCCACCTCGGCCTCCCAAAGTGCTGGGATTACAGGCGTGAGCCATAGCGCCCAGCCTAGAACATTTTTATGAAATGTTCTAAAATGAAATCCTGCACCCATTAGCAGTCATCCCCCATTTCCTCCTCCTTCCGACCGCTGGCAATCAGTTATGTAGTTGCTGTCTATATTAATCTTTCCTAGTCTAGATATTTCATTAAAGAAATCGTATGTTCTTTGTGACTGACTTTTTTCACTTAGAATGTTTCGAAAGTTCATCTAAGTCGTAGCACGTGTCAGTACTTTATTCCCTTTAATTACAAATAATATCCCTTTCATAGGTATACAGCATTTTGTTTATCCATTTACATCAGTTGACGGACATGGACTGTTCCCCATTTTTAGCTATTGTGAATAATACTGTTAAGAACATTCATATACACGTTTGTGTTTACTTATTTGTGTTTTTTTCAAAGATACAGTCTTGCTATGTGGCCCAGACTGGCCTCTTAATTCCTCGGCTCAAGCGACCCTCCCACTTCAGCCTCCTGAGTAGCTGATGCACATGTTTTTGTGTGGATATATACTTTCATTTCTCTGTTACATATGCCTGAAAGTAGAATTGCTGGATCATATGCTAGTTCTCTATTTAGTTTTTCAGGAATAGCCATACTGTCTTCCATAGTGACTACACCATTTTACATTCCCATCAGACTGGCCTGATTGGTTTTCAACTCCTGACCTCAAACAATCTGCCCACCTTGGCCTCCCAAAGTGCTAGGATTACAGGCGTAAGCTACCGTGCCCTGCCCAAGATTTAAGTTTTCTTCTAAGTATCTTAGAGTTTTTAACTTTTACATTTAGACATGTAATCCATTTCAAGTTAATTTTTGTGTGTATTGGGAGGAAGAGGTCAAACTTCTGTTTTTCACGGGTAGCTGTCCAGTTGCCACAGGATCATTTGTTGAAAAGACTGTTCTTTCCGCATTGAAATGTCTTAGCATCTTTTTATCATTCTTCTCAACTAAGCTCTATTAGGAAAATGTCTTTCTCTATTCATAAAGTACAGGTTTGTCAAAATCCAAAGGTTCATTCATGTGATGCTCTGTTGATTTTACAGCCCAGCAGACCGGGTTATCCTAGTCCGAGGTCCAGCGAAGGATTTTATCCCAGCCCACAGCACATGGTACAAACCAATCATTACCAGGTATGCCAGTCATTACGGGTATAAACTGTGTTACTTGATAATTTAGCACTTTTGGGATAGAGAGGTACATTGTGCATGTTTTTATTTATGTACTTATGAGTATGATTTGGCCGATAGAAAGCTGGGAAAGTGGTTACCCTAATCATTGACTGATGTTGTCTCAACACCCCACACAGAGGGCGTTTGCTTTTCACGCCTTCTTCAAGTGGACAGGGCCAGGGCCTGCTGCCATTCTTAGGCACGTTTTCATCCACTCGCTATGGTAAAAGGCAAGGTGAAGCCAGTGGGCACACACTCTGCAGAGGGAGTACTGAACTGGACAGTTTTTATGGAAGGCAAGAATAAAATTCAAAATTAACAGAACCCAGATAAAATACCATATGGACAAGTGTGAAAAGTGTTAGATTTATAGACAGATACCCTGTGCAAATTAGAAAAAATTATCCTTGAATGAAAAGGGCCTGAAACAAAGTAAACAATTCATTTGTTTCGAGAAAAAGTTATTAACTTTTACTGAGGTATACCTTACAATGCACAGGTCTTTGTTCCGACAGATGCATACCCCAGTGCATCCCATCCTCACTTCAGGGTATAGAGCGTGTCTGTGACCCCGGCAGTTCCTTTGTGCCCCTTCCCATCAGGCACCTCCTGCCCCAAGAGCAACCACTCTTCTCACTTCTAGTATCAGAGATTTCTGCCTGTTCTAGAATTTTATATAAATAGATCATATAGAGTGTGCTTTTTAGGGCTTATCTTTTTTTAACTCATTGTAATGTCTGTAGAAGTCAGAGTCCTATTGAGGGTGTCGGTACTTAACCTTTCCTACCTCCTTCACAGAGTTGTTGAAAGCATGGTTTAAATTAAGGCCTCTTGGGTCAAAATGGGCAAAAAATCTTAACTTTGGTACTTAACTGTCAGTAATAAGGGAGAATGTAAGCACTTTCTTATTAGAAAAGATAGGTCAGTGGTAGTTTAGAACAGCAAATTTCAGCCTCTTTAGCCTCCAGATTCTAATGTATTAATTCTGGAGCCCAAGAATAGCTTATCGTTAGCAAGCAACCTCAGTAGGTTCTGAGGTAGATGACTCAGTCAGACCTATGTTTTGGGAGACACTGTTCTGAGATGGCCGCTTGCCTGGCAGAAGAGGAGTGAATCGTTTTTCTTGGGCACCTGTCTGTTCGTTCAGCAGGGTTGCACTGAATGTTCATCTACTCTGCCTGGCACTATTCTAGGCACTGGGAATATGAAGACAAATAAAGTACTCTTTTTTCTCATGGAAGGAGCTCACAGGGCCCTTTGTCAGTTTAGATTACTACCAGTTCCATAAGTGAAGAAGCCAAAACCCTGACCCAGCACAAGGGTCAGAGCAATGGGAAGTACACAGGTGGCCTAAAGAAAGAAACCCCACCTCTATGATTGCTGAGAGACCCTGAGCTCTGGCAAACAAGCAGATGGGCCCCAGAGTCTGTGCCTGGCTGGTATGGAAAGTGAACTGGCCCTGAGTGGGAATTGAATACGAGCATTGTTTTGAGAAAACATGACAGCACCTGCTTAATGAGACAAGCTGTTAGCAGAGAGACAGTTCTCTTTGTGTCCCAGCAGGCCTGGTCTGTGGCACTGTCAAGATTTGAAACTCTCATATGTGTTTGTTAGTGGCTGTCTGTCACCAGTGCAGTGGAAGCCCCTGAGAGTGAGGACTTGTCTCTATTTTAAGGGCTTAGAACAGCGTGTAAAAGTGAGTAAATAGAGAATTAAGTAAAACATTGTTTTTTTTCATTGAACTAATGTGTGATTAACCTTTCCCAAGCCTAAATTTTCCTCTCTTGTAAATGAGACCAACTATGAGACATTTCCTGAAGTTACTTCATTTTTAGCCTAAAGTGATCCTTCTACATCGTTTATCTGATCCATGTACCGAAAACCTGCCTTAGACTATTTTAAACCTCCTTGTGAAATTCCTAAATGTGTCTGGCATAATATGTTCCTTTCACCAAAAATCTTGATATAGCATTTTGCATTTAGTAGCATTTTTATTATATAAGATATTTTCATTCAAATAAACTGTGAAACTAACTGTATGTCTCACTTGAAATTCATTAATTTTTACATTGCCATATGGAGCCTTTGGTATAAATTAATGCCTAGAGCCGAATAAACCACAAAACCTTTGTTGAAGGATTGTTGATATTTGGAATACATTTGTTTGCTGTGCTTTATCTCACTAAAAAATAACTGACAACACCCCACCGCATCTGCAGCACTAGCCCTAATGAGGTTGAAAGGCGAGCAGCGAACAATACTTGATTCTGTTCTCTGTCTTTCTCTGATAGAGAAGAACCATACAAAAAAACCTGTCTTATGTCCTCTGCCTTGAAATTTTGTTCTCCTATGCCCAAACCGATGTCTTCTCTCTGCCTTAGTCCCAATGTTAGAATTAAAGGCACGACTTATCCTACCATCGACTCTCAGCGGTCATTAAGACAAACAGTTGAGGGGTCTTTTGTGTGTGTGTTGTTGTTGTTTGTTTCTTTGTTAGGGATACGTGGTTGGTTGGCAGGAAAGGGGATTTCTACGACAAGTGTGCACATGCCCATTTTTGTGCGCTTCCTGTTTGCTTTCATCCAAGATGGCTGACCTCATTATTTTAGTAAACTGAAATTCCAAAGAAACATTCCATATTTTTCTATATATTACTATGCACTATGCTCTCTAATGCAGCCATAACAAATGCTCCTTTCTTGAGACTTTTAGCTGAGAGTCTTCCATTTCCTTGCCTATCGCTTCTATAGGCCACGCCACATGCTTGGCTCACCTCCCCTTACCTCCGTTTCTGTAAGCAGAATTTTTGGGTTTTTTTGTTTGGTTGTTTTTTTTTCGTTTTGAGACAAAGTCTCGCTCGTGTCCCCCATGCTGGAGGCAGGCGCGATCCAGCTCACTGCAAGCCCTCCTCCCGGGTTCACACCATTCTCTCTGCCTCAGCCTCCCTGATTACTGGGAACTCCACAGGCGCCCGCCACCGCGCCCTGGCTAATTTTTTTATTTTTAGTAGAATGGGGTTTCCACCGTGTTATGCCACGGGATTGTCTCATCTCCTGCTTGTGATCCGTGCCCACCTCCGCCTCCCATGCTGGATTAAGTTGAGCCCACTGTGCCCGGCCAGAGCCCAAGCAGTATTTAATCCCCCGCTGGGACCTTTCTTTCAGTGTCCCATGTCCCTCCCTCCTCACATTACACTTCTCCTCTTGCATTTTAAGACCCTTGTAATTACTTTGGCACTCACTCAGCATTACTCCTGGATACCCTCCCCATCCCAAGGTCCTTGACCTACAACCAGCAGGTTTGGCACAAGTCTCTTTTACCCTCGCATCTACAGGGCGAACATATCAATGGGTCAACGTGATTTAGCGAACATGGGTATCTGTTGGGGCCCATAATTTATGCCCTCCACATAGTTCCTGTAATTTAAGTTCCTTTGTATAAGCAGAACTGTCAGCCATGTTATATCTGAACCATTACGCGCCTCCTCTACTCAGTTTCACAGTTCTGACTACCCTTGGTTTCTCACCATGGAATCACAGCCATGGGCCTGGGCAGCATCTATCCAACGGTCCCTCGCATCCTTTGACCAAACAGATCTCATAGGTAATCCATAGACATCAGGAGATAGCAATGTGCAGACCCAATGGTGGATGGTACAAACACTCCCGCGCTGTCTGCGCTCTTCAGTTTTTAACTTATAAAGGCATGGCAAAGCGCGGCATGGGTGCTCACACCCTGTAACTCCCAGCAACTTTGGGAGGCTAAACGTGGAGCGATTGCTTGAGCCCCAAGAGTTGAAACCAGTCTGGGCAACCAACGAGACCCTGTCTCTACAAAAAATAGAAAATTAGTCACATATGGTGGTATATGCCTGCAGTCCTAGCTAACTCGGGATGCTGGGGTGAGAGAATCGTTTGAGCCTAGGAAGTTGAGACATGGCAGTGGAGCTGAGATCGATGCCACTACACCTCCACCTGGCAACAGAACAAGAACCTGTCTCAAAAAAAAAAAAAAAAAAAAAAAAAAAATAAAAAAAACAAAGCATGGCCCGAGGCACCTTTATATTCCTAAGTCCAAGATTTATTGATTTTATAGACTTTTTTTTTTTTTTTTGAGACAGAGGCTCACTCTGTCTCCCAGGCTGGAATGCAGTGGTACGATCTCGGCTTACTGCAACCTCTGCCTCCCAGATTCAAACAATTCTGCCTCAGCCTCCCGAGCAGCTTGGATTACAAGCGCAAGCCACCACGCCCAGCTCATTTTTATATTTTTTAGTAGAGGCAGAGTTTCACCATGTTGGCCAGGCTGGTCTTGAACCTCTGACTTCAAGTGATCCACCCGCCTCAGCCTCCCAAAGTGCTGGGATTGCGGGCTTGAGCCACCATGCCCGGCCATATTTTAATGACTTAATTCAAAGATCAGGATACTCCAGCTACTCAAATGCTTTCTGGTTTCATGAACTTTTTTAACTAAAAGAACCCAGGGAGAAATACTAAAATCTTTAGTCCACATATTTGAAAGGCAAAGCCCTCAGTGGAATATAATCAGCATATGCATGAGGCCAACGAAGAAACAGGAAGACAGAGCATTCAGTTCTTTGGACCATGTTAATTTTTACTAAATTTTCCTGGTAAAACCAAGAACTACTCTTACAGTTTAAAAATTTATTTGAGCTGGGTACAGTAACACACACCCATAGTTGCATCTACTCAAGGGGCTGAGGTGGTAAGATAACTTGAGCCTAGGAGTTCGATGCCAGCCTGGGCAACATAGCAAGACCCCATCTCATTAAAAAGAAAAAAAATTACTTATTTGAATAAAAGAGCATCTATAGTTGTCTGCTACTTATGTTCTTTTATTTAATATTTAATACTCTATAATATGTATCATATTTCAGCCTTCTATTCTAGATTGTTTCTACTTTTTTACTATAAGTAACAATGTATTCTTTGCACATATTTTGTGTTATTTCTTTAAAATAGACCCCTACAAGTGAATCTGTGAGCTAAAGGGTTGTATACTTGTTAAAGATGCTTGATGCACATTAAATTGCACCCTGCAGAAAAGTTACTCCCACAAGCACAGTATGAGAGATCCTGTTTCTACCATACTTGCTGTTCTGCTTATCTTTTCTTGAAAGACGCATAAAACAATGTAAGAACATAGAAATGGACTTAAGAGACTGGACATGCTGTTTTCAACCCTTCTTCCAGGACTCTACAGCATTGGACCTGCGAGGGATTGGGCAAGTGTTGCCAACCCACCTGATGGAAGAGCGGCTAATCCGACAGCAACAGGAAATGGAAGAAGATCAGCGCTGGCTGGAAAAAGAGGAAAGATTTCTGGTAATTGTGTTTCTGAAAAGCTTCTTTGACTTTTTAAGCCATGTTAGAGTCTACTATATTGCAAATTATTGCAAAATGTTATGTTTCAAAGCAGGAGAGTTAGTTTTACAACTACTCCTTAAAACTTGCAATAGGCCGGGGCCGGGCACAGTGGCTCAAGCCTGTAATCCCAGCACTTTGGGAGGCCGAGATGGGCGGATCACGAGGTCAGGAGATCAAGACCATCCTGGCTAACACGGTGAAACCCCATCTCTACTAAAAAAAATACAAAAAACTAGCCGGGCGAGGTGGCGGGCGCCTGTAGTCCCAGCTACTCGGGAGGCTGAGGCAGGAGAATGGCATAAACCCAGGAGGCGGAGCTTGCAGTGAGCCGAGATCCAGCCACTGCACTCCAGCCTGGGCGACAGAGCGAGACTCCGTCTCAAAAAAAAAAAAAAAACTTGCAATGGGCTGGGCACGGTGGCCTATTTGGAAGGCTGAGGCAAGCAGATCACCTGAGGTCAGGAGCTCGAGACCAGCCTGGCCAACATGGTGAAACCCAGTCTCTACTAAAAATACAAAAAGTAGCCAGGCACATGCCTGTAATCCCAGCTACTTGGGAGGCTGAGGCAGAAGAATTGCTTGAACCAGTAGGCAGAGGTTTCAGTGAGCCGAGATCATGCCATTGTATTCCAGCCTGGGCAACAAGTGAAACTCCATCTCAAAAAAAAAAAAAAAAACGACTTGCAATAATATGGCTGGATGTGGTGGTTAATGCCTACAATCCCAGTGCTTTGGGAAACCAAGGCAAGAGGATCACTTGAGCCCAGGAGTTCAAGACCAGCCTAGGCAACACAGCAAGACCCTGTCTCTACAAAAAATAAAAAAAATTAGCCGGGCATTGTGGCTTACACCTGTGGTCCCAGATACTTGAGAGGCTAAGACTGAGTCCAGGAGTTCTAGATTATAGTAAGCTATGATTGTGGCACTGCCCTCTAACAGATCCAAAATCCTGTATCCAAAACCCGTAAGGGCCATGTGTGTTTCATAATTCAGTATTTTTTAAATACTAAAAAGTTAGTGTAATATGCTGAACATTATACATTATTTAAGACTCTAACAACATGCCAGAGTTAAAACCACCAGTATTTCTATAGCAAAATGCAAATAATCACATTAACAGTTAAATAAAGATTGTAAGATGCTTCATCTGTTCAGGTTTTACTACCATATTAGTTTGTTTCAAACATAGAAAAGCACACTTAACATTTTCAGAACTTTTTAGGTTTTAGAAATGAGGATAGAGGAATGTGGACTTGTCCTTTTATTATCTTCATTTTAACAGAACAGGAGAGAGAGACCCAGAGAGCCTCTGTGCCACAGAGCAAGACTGTCTCTTACGGGAAAAGAAAAAAGAAAGAAAAAGCTTGCGATAATGGATTATTTGCTTTTATAATTATCTTTTAGGGATACATTTCTCTAAAATTTTAGTAGTGTCATTTTGGGCTCAGAGATATGAGCATTTGTTTGGTTTTTCATTACCGCATTGTTTACCCAGAAACAACTCCTGCTTCCATGTCAGCTTACATAAACTATTGCATCTTGCTACTGCAGGCTGTGTAACAAGACAGCTAAGATTTGCCTTCCTGGCATTTACGGCTGATGTGAACCTCCTCCCGGATGTGTCTGGACATATGCATGGGAAATGTCTTCCTTCAGGCAACCCTTATTGAAAACCACTTCAGAAGTCCCTTGGGGACAGAGAGGAAGTGGTGGGACAGAGCAATCTCTGTATGTTACTTGACACAAAGGTCCTTTTAGACTCATGGTCCCTGCTGCCAAGCAATTCTGTGCCCTCAGCCTCAGAACTAAGGACTGTGAGAACCTATTCCCCACTCTCCTTGAACCCGGAATAGCTATTTCAGTCTTCCTGTAGTTGCCTCAATCATATTATGGCTGAAAGAAGCCAGGATTCATAATTTAGAGCCAGTAACTTTACCTGGTCTCTCATGCTTTGCATCATTAAACATTCACTGACACTAACTTTGTGTTAAATTTAACCAATTTAGAATTTTGAAAGCATAGGATAAAACTTTCCTTCTGAATTAAAGCAAATCTTGAGATTGTAAGGCAGATGGAAAAAAAAAATTGTTATTTTTAGCCTGGCACGGTGGATCACACCTGTAATTCATCCCAGCACTTTGGGAGGCCAAGGTGGACAGATCACTTGAGGCCGGGAGTTCGAGATCAGCCTAGCCAACATGGTGAAACCCTGTCTCTACTGAAAAAAAAAAAAGAAAAAAAGGTGCAGTGACTCATGCCTGTAATCCCAGCACTTCGGGAGGCTGAGGCGGGCTGATTACTTGAGGTCAGAAGTTCGAGACTAGCCTGGCCAACATGGCAAAACCCCGTCTCCACTAAAAATACAAAAATTAGCCAGGTGTGGTGATGCGTGCCTGTAATGCCAGCTACTCAGGAGGCTGAGGCAGAAGAATTGCTTGAACCTAGGAGGCAGAGGCTGCAGTGAGCCAAGATGGCACTCCAGCCTGGGTGACAGAGCAAAACTCAAAAAAACAAAAATTAGCCAGGCATGGTGGTACACACCTGTAGTCCCAGCTATTCAGGAGGTTGAGGCATGAGAATTGCTTGAACCCAGGAAGAAGTGGTTGCAGTGAGCTGAGATTGTACCGCTGCACTCCAGCCTGGGTGACAGAGTAAGACTCTGGAAAAAAAGGAAAAAAAAATGTTATTATTTACTACCACTAATCTGAGTGAATTAATTTGGATATTATATCTATTCTAAGAACATATGTTCTCTAGCCCTACATTTCAAAACTATTTTTTGTCCAGATAGCCTCTTTTACCAGGCAGCATTGATTTGTATTTTTAAAGGTAGATGTTATAGATTCTCCAAGCTAGAGTTCTTGTATTTCAGTCCCATATATGACTGCATTTGGACAAAGGGTTTGCTACCAAATGTTGTGAAATGCTACTGCTGTTCTATTGCTCTGACAAAGAAGAACATCAGGAAGAGCAGAAGAGAACCCTGTGTATCACTAGGGGTATTGGGGGAGGCAGCAGAGTGTGGATAGCATTTGAGCCAAGGCTTAAAGGAGAAATTGGAATTTTTAGGGCAGACAGGCTAGGGAAATACATTCCAGGAAGAGTGAAGAGTGTGGGTAATGACATGGGGTCAAAAGGCTATATTCCAGCCAGGCACAGTGAATAATCTCAGCTGCTCGACAGGTTGAGGCAGGGAGATCGCTTGAGTCTAGGAGTTTGAGACTAGCCTGGGCTTAGCAAGACCCTGTGGCAAAAAAAAAAAAAAAAAAAAAAAGCCCTAAAGGGAGGAGGATCAAGTACCCAGAATTCCTACAATATATTATATAAAATGTCTAATCTCCAACAAAAAATTACAAGACATACAAAGGAACAGAAATATATATGAATGATACACAAAAGAAAAAAAGACTGTTCTGGCTGGGCACAGTGATTCACGCCTGTAACCCCAGCACTTTGGGAGGCTGAGGCAGGTGGATCATCTGAGGTCAGGAGTTCAAGACTGGCCTGGCCGACATGGTGAAACCCCGTCTGTACTAAAAATACAAAATTGGCATGCCTATAATCCCGGCTACTTGGGAGGCTGAGGCAGGAGAATCGTTTGAACCCGGGAGGCGGAGGTTGCAGTAAGCCAAGATCATGCCACTGCACTCTAACCTGGGCAACAGAGCGAGACTCTGTTTAAAAAAAAAAAAAAATGCACACACACAAACTGTATTATAAGAACTTCCTGTATCTGGATGTGACCAAAGCAGAGCATGTTTGTGGGGAAATGGAAAATATTTCTTACTATGTGTTTTGGGTTTTGTTTTTAACTTAATAACCGTGTAATTGGAGCGTCTTCATTTGGTCCTAAACCTGTCTGTTGGGTAACTTCTGAGATAGCTTGCCTGGTGCTAAACTTGGAGGCCATGATGGCATCGAGGCAATTTCCCACTCAAGTACCTTTCCTTTTTTTTTTTTTTCCCCAAAACAGGGTCTCACACTGTCACCCAGGGTAGAGTGCAGTGCAGTGGCACAATCACGGCTCATTCCAACCTTGACCTCCTGGGCTTAATCTGTCCTCCCACCTCAGCCTCCCAAGTAGCTGGGACTACAGTCACGCACCACCACGCCCAGCTAATTTTTGTTTTTGGTGGAGTTTTATCATGTTAGCCAGGCTAGAACAAGCATCTTTCTTAATGCTCGTAAGATGGTATTGTATTTTTATCTTTGCTTGTTTTCCTTACTAGACTGAGCACCTCATGAGTGCAGAGACCAGGGACCATGTCTTCTTTTTGTGTCACCTCAAGGATGACACATTACCTACACCAGGGTTTCTCAGCCTGGGCATTGTTGACATTTGGGACTGGGTAATTCTTTGTTGTAGGAGACTGTCCGATGAATAGTAGGAGTTCTTAGCAACATCCCTGGCCTCTACCCACAAGGTGCCAGAGAACCTTACTGAGTGCCAAGCGTGAAGCTTGAATGAACTTACTGTATTATGATGTGCACTCCTGCGTTTTCTCCCCCAACCCCCTGTACTCTCACACATGCTCACTCTCACCCTCTTTCCCTAATAAAACATAAGTTCCTTAATGGCAGCAGCTGTGACTTAACTGTCTTCATCCTGCTTCATTTTTCTCCTAATGTTTCTCACTGTGTGACAATGTCTCGCTTGTTTTCCTATCTCCTCCACTAAAGTGTAAGCATCACAAAGATGAGAACTTTATTTATTCAGCACTCTCCCCCAGCTCCTATAGTACCGTTCGTTCAGCAGTAGTAAGGCTCAAGCAGTATTTATTAAGCGAATGAATGTACCGCCATACAGTGTTAAGCATCTAAATGTTAGAGGTCAAGAGGGAAGAAGGAAGAATCTGGGGCAGGAATCATAGCGTTTGTGTCACTATTTTTCATCTAAAAACAAGTAATGCATGAACCCTGGGGAAGTAGATATAATTATTTTACAAATGAATAAATTA